GATGGGATTTAATATACATAAGTGATGTGGGGAGGTAGCATGAATCTTAATGTCCAGATTTTCTTATAGCACGTTGAAAGAAGCACTAAATTCAGTTACTGTTGCTCCATTCATTTGCATTTACAATCTTTAAACAACATTTCTCTCTTCAGTTATCAATAGGATTTTTAGTAGTAGTAGAGACAAGGTGGTAGATAGTACAAATGTTTAGTTAAGAGGGTTGAAATGGGTTTAGAAAATCTGATATTAAAACTAGTATCAAAACTAGATACTCATTTGAGCAAGTATCAATACAAAAATTACATTAACAGGGCAATATGGTACCATTTTCAACAGCTTTAGAATGAGCTTAAGCTTAATCAGAACTAGTGTAAGACCATATATAGTAACATTAAGAAAGAACCATTCATCTTTTTAAAGTAATATTTGGTAGTCTTTTTTTTTTTTTTTTATTTTTAAGACTAATAAACTCCATTGACTGAACAATAGGGACAGTAACCGAACAGTACAATTTGTCTTGTGGTCTAAATCGTTCAATATTCAAATAACAATCATGAAATCAACATGTGATCCGTAAAGCGGTAAATTATACACCGCACGATGCCAGATTCAAACTGATGGATTGACTCTAACCACAGATGAATTCAGAAACCTAATAGAAGATTACTTCCCAGCTGCTGATTTGACCGGGCACCTGCAAGCTTGGTTTATCTTTGACACTTTGGAGACACAAGATCTGAAAAGTAAAAAGTAAAATCCATTATCACACGCGCCAATGAGTCTCCGGACAGATTTTTACAACGGGCATTATGAAAGATGCCTCGGGCCAGAGCGCCGCGTGAAAGATGGTGGTCATTTGACTAGACGAGGGGCTGTGAGGACCCCCTCCTATAGGCTGCAGCGCCAGAGCTCAGGCCTGGCTTGTATTAATGAACAGGCAGCGCTGAAAGGGACAGGTTTCTGTAATGCTGATGAATGGTCATTATGGAGCGGAGACGAGAGGAGAGAGGTGGAGGGGGAGGAGGGGGGGAGGGTGTAGCTGGGCAGAGGGGGCTCATAGGGAGCTTTAATTTGCACCTCGGATTTCTGTAAACTCGTTCATCATGTCGCCACCGTCACAGCGCCCCCTGGGTCTTCCTCCTTATACTACCAGCTGAACTCGCTCTCTCACTTAAATGACTTGTTTTTGTTCAAAAGTTTTACAATACCATAAAGAGGTTATACAAAATACAAAAAAGCGCTGGTTTGGTTCATTCATTGGATACTACACTGTTGCCAGAGCAGTCATTGTAATTCTTTCCTCATATACAACAAAAAATTTATTTTAATTAACCTTAAAAGGCCCATATTACACTATGTTCTGATTTATGTTGTAATGTTTCTCATCAAAAAACATACCCCGAGGTGTGTTTTGTTTCATTCATACATGTTTAACACACAAATCCTGTAAATTTAAGCAGAATTCTCTCAAAAAGAAAACAGCTTGTGATGTCACGTTGTAATACAGGAAGGATGCCACTGTGTTTTTAAACTCCAGACATGCTCACTAAAAGCATTTGGATAATTTCAGTCTTGGAATGTACAATTTCCACTAAACAAAAGGTAAAAGGTAGCTGTTAACTTGGAAATTGGCGCTTCATGAGATCACAAGGTGGAACAGAGAATTTTGAGCTTTAGAGATGTAGACAGACTAATAATTCAGGATAACTCAAAGTTTTGTTTAGTTTCATTCACACATCTCCAGGTATGTTTTTCAGGAGGACACTGTATTCTTATCACACAGGCAAACAACACAAAAAATAAATACAGGCAACGAAATCTTAGTTCAGTTAAACAGAAAGTGTCCTCAAATCAGGCTGATAAACACCTAAAGAATATATGTCTTTATTATATGAACTTAAATATCCAAACAAACAAAAATAAATAAATCTCAAACAGAAAACAACTGAGTATGAATGCAGAAAGAAGCTCAAACAGAGAATAATTCAGAATCAGCTAATACAGAATGCACAACGCCAACAACATGATTTGCTCAGATACAGAACTGGAGAGTTTCTCTAGACTGGTCAACAATTCAGCAAAGACTGAACGAGCAGGAGGAGTTTATATACACTACTCTAGGATGATTAGGGAATAGGCTGTATTCACGCTTACATCACAAACCAGGAAGACGTTTGGAAACATGCGATTACAACTTCCGGTGTAGTTACCGACAACGGGCTCGTCTAAGATGGATCGATTAAAACCGACTGCGATAAAACCCATTGAAGTAAATGTGATCAGCGGTAAAATGAAGAATGCATACGTATGTGCTGTTTGGAATCATCTTGAATTTGGCATCTTCATCTCTTCTAATCGCATGTACACAGTGTGCTCGGAGTTGTGCGTCAGTGGGGAAATGATGAAAACTGAGGTATGGATGTAACTGTTGATTAGATGAACATAATGGAACGCTACAATGGCATTTAGATGAAGAAAACTGGGCCTGGGAAGCTGTAATTGCATCTTTCCAAAGTTGCAGATGAAGGAAAAAGGGGGAGGTAGCAAAAGAAGGACTGGAACAGGCTGCGAAATGGAGCTGGACTGGGGATAAACATGTAAACAAAAAGCAGAAGTGTGACAATTCTAACATGGCTTAAAGCTCACAAGAGTTAATTTGGCATATTATAGGATAAAATAAATAAATAAAATGTTCAATATTCATAGTTATAATATTCTTTGCCGCAATCTCAGTAACATGAATGTAGCTATAGCATAAAAAATACATCTAATCATACTTAATGTAATGTGACTAGCCCCTTTAGGGAATAGTGACGAGACACATGGTCTTGTGTGTTATATATTACGTCTGATAGAGCAACAGGGGAGGACTTATAAAGATGTGAAAGGAGTTTATTATAGATCCTATGAAACAGTACATCTATATTTTTCCATTATGAATTTGTACATAGCCTAACAAAATTGCTGTAGACTGTAACTTCTAAAACACCTGCATGCTCTTCTTACAATTTGCTAGATATCTTTCCCTTTTAGTGAATATTCTCCAGCAGTTCTCATTGAATCCAGCCCAAAGCACATTTCCATCATGTTTTTGAGTTAATACCCTGGGGTTTTTCCTGATGCTCATCCAACATACTTTCTGGGTCACACCTGCCAGTGAAGGCCGCCACTGTATCTTGGTGCAGTCTGCATGCTAATGTACTCCCATGAACCTGCTTTGGCTAACTCACACTAGCAATCCTTTCACTCTAATTGTTATTCAGCAGCCTATAATCTTGAATTTGTCACACACCTTATTTTCATAACTCAGCGGCGGTTCTGCTCAGCAACATCCAAAGTAATTACTAGGTTTGTCCTTAAACAGTGGCATGCACAAACTACAGCTGTGAGAGCAGGAGTAAGTGGTGTTTTTTCCTCTTTAAGAATTTGTTTATGGCTCAGAGAAAAGATGGACAATTGTTTATTCTCAGTGGATGCATAAGCTCCAAAGTCTGGCCAGTGAAATCTTTGTATTAATCCAGGATGTCGACTCCGATACATGGCCTCTGGGAGTTTGGTAATCAGAGTACAAATTCTCTGCAGCTTAACTCACATTAGCATGCTTTATCTCGATAAAAAAGTACTGTGTAAAATGGGAATACATATTGCCTTATGCTTCTTGCATAATCAGTTGTTGAAATAGGATATTGTACTTTTTGTGTGTGTGTAAGTGAATTAAATGAACTTGACATAAACATAAACATACATATTTCTCATCATCATGACTGTGACAGAAGCTCACATGGTAGAGCACTCATCCTCTGATCTGAAGGTTGGCAATTCGAATCTGGCTCCCAACTAGGGATGCGCATGATTGATTTTTAATCGACAAACCGAATGTAGGTTGCTGAGCGTAGTGTAGTGTACGGAGACGAGACTGCGTCCTACAGCTCAAACACTGGAGATGTGGCCTCGCGGTCCCACGTTTCGGCTCTGGCACCTCCTTGGAGATGACACGGACACATGCTCATCAGTATGATCGGCTTTTTTGAATATCCTGGTTTCGTCATGGTGCATGTATACACAGTATCAGAACATAAAGTTGAGTGCGCATGCGTCCAAAAGACAAACACTTTTCAGTCTTTATCACAACAGTAGCCAGAATAAATAAAGTGGCCAACATAAATAAAGTGAGTGAAATGACTGTTAAATAAAGAGCTGCACTAAACCTGCACACGTATGATCTCTGAAAATATGAACCATCTCCAATGCACAAAACAGACTCACCATCATCATCATCAACATCCCTCTGTCACAAAGAGAACACTCAGCGCACAAGGAAAGAGCAGGTTTTGTTTGGCACTTATAGTTGATGCAAATGAGCCGTGTGGTTTTAAGTTTCATTTCTCTAAGACGTAAACAAATGTGTCAAAGCTGCATTAAACACATTATAATGTCAAACGGGCTGTTGTGGCTCTATAGTGGTTATGGTTTATATGTTTTAAAGTTGAGTTTATTTATGCAGATTAGTAATAGTAATATGATGATAATTTTAATATAAAACATTAATGATTAATCAAAAATCAATTGTTAATTCTCCCAACGATCGATTAAGAAAATGTAATTGAATGCCCATCCCTACTCCTAACATAAACATGATGGTAGAATGGTGAGTGTCTGCGTACACTGGTGTATGAATGTGTGTGTGAATGGGTGCGTGGTAAATAATCATTTTCCATTAAAGAGGTGTTCCTGATCCACAACTAGCAATAAATGGATTAACTGTCCGGCTAACAACGTAAGATAGGCAGCCATTATTGTTGCTTTATTTGATTTTATGCTGGTTTTTATTGTTTTAGGACTTGTATGATCAAATATTTAGCAATTATACTTTGCGTTGTTTTCTTTTTATGATCTCTGCAGCACTTTGGAAACTGCTTTGTTTGTAAAATGTGGTATATACATAAACTAGATTTGGGTAATTCAAATTCATACAACTAACCTATTTCTTTTTTTTCCAGTGGGAGGAGGTGAGCGGCTACGACGAGAACCTCAACACCATCCGGACTTACCAGGTGTGTAACGTGTTTGAGCCCAGCCAAAACAACTGGCTCCTCACCACCTTCATCGACCGACGGGGAGCACAGCGCATCTACGTGGAGATCCGCTTCACAGTACGGGACTGTAGCTCCATACCCAACGTCCCAGGGTCCTGCAAAGAGACCTTTAACCTTTACTACTATGAGACGGACGCTGTAATAGCCACCAAAGGAACTGCATTTTGGATGGAGGCTCCTTATCTGAAAGTGGACACGATAGCAGCAGACGAGAGCTTCTCCCAGGTGGACTTTGGTGGACGACTTATGAAAGTTAACTCAGAGGTACGAAGTTTCGGGCCTTTGTCGAAAAACGGTTTCTACTTAGCTTTTCAGGACTATGGGGCGTGCATGTCACTTCTGTCTGTCCGAGTTTTTTATAAGAAGTGCCCGAGCGTGGTCCAAAACTTTGCCATTTTTCCCGAGACGATGACGGGAGCAGAGAGCACCTCGCTGGTCATCGCCAGAGGGATGTGCATAGCCAATTCTGAAGAAGTGGATGTCCCTATAAAGCTGTACTGTAATGGAGATGGAGAGTGGATGGTGCCTATTGGGAGCTGCACGTGTAAGGCTGGATTTGAGCCGGACAATGGGAACGTATGCCGCGGTGAGTAACCAAAGCTTTTAAAGTCTTTTTGGTTTTGACGATCCATAATTTTCATTCCGATCCAAAATCTAAACTATTAATGCGTTTTTTGTGAAATCAAACTACCCATATTCGACTGACAGGGCATCCACAGCTTTCACAAAGCCTTTAAAAAAAACAAATTATCTCAAAGCACCTAAAAGTTAGAAGTGCGTGGACTTTTTTGTCATTTTATGCCAATTTCACAGGCCATTGAAAACAACACAATGCCATCTTGGGTTCATCTTATTATACTTCTATGGTTGTTCCTCACATTCCTAACACATTACGAGCATTCTATAATAATTCAGTCCAACGATTTATATCCTTCGCTGTAATTCTAACAACAACTAACATGCAAACAGCACATTTAGATTAGATACAGACAGCATGCAGCAGTCTTATTTTGACCCAGAAGAGCTGCTTTTACAATATATCTCAAAACCAATTCTGCTTTATTCCATGAAAGAAGCCATGTACATCTCCTTTAATGCCCTGTCTATTGTAACAAGAATGTAAATGAATCGTCCCTATAAAAGCTGCCACATCTCAACTCTTTGTCAAACATGTCTTCCTATTCTGTCTTAAGTGCTACTTGTATCACTTCTCGCACTCTTTGCTTTCACTTCCACTGTTTGATATTGATGGACTTCGTACAGTACAAAAACATCACACCACATGAATGAGTTTTATTTTGGGCTTGCGTATGGTATAACAAGACATCTGCGTACCTTGGATCACAGTTTTTCTGCACCATTTGAGGCTGATCTGATTGTGTTTCTTGCTTTTTGTTGAGCGCGACAAGCCCCCATCTCCCTTGATCGTACCCACCTCGGTCTCTCTACAAAGGCGTATTAGCATTGATTCTTAATCTTTAGCGAACGGTGCCGTCTGTGTAGCCTACTTTGCAGATGGCGAGAGGTTTGATGCTGCGCAGCACGGTGCATTGAAAGTTCAGAAGAATAGGCGCACCTCAATTCAGAAATAGATTCAGAAATAGATGGGACAAGTATACATTCAATTCAATATCGCGCAATAGACTGTATACACAATAAACAATATTTCTGCAAGTCATTTCATTCTTGTATAACAGATTGTTGCAACTTGTAAACTTGAATTTGACTGGAATACATTTAAAAAGTAGATTTTTATTTTTACTACAAAATTTGAATGAATTTACTACCAAATTTAATAGTGGAGTCATTTGCAAATACGAAATTTCTTGCTGAAACTTTGACCCTGTTTTCCAATATTAATAATCGTAGTCTCACCCAGCCCCAAACCAGAATTTGCAGTATTCATTCATGGCTAAACACACTTACAAAAAACAATTTAGCAAAAAGTACAAATTAGTTCCATGTGTAAAATTCCGCAACATTGTCAACTACCGAAATATTTACTTTTCTACTGTTTATTTTTACGTCTGTGTCCCAACTTTTGCAATCGGGGTTTCAATACAGTGAATAAAAAAAGCCTTGCCTGGATTTTCCTTGGTCACCTTCTCTCACCCATCTGTCCTCTATCGCTCCTTACCATCCCACATGCTCACAAAGCCAAAGCGCGCCCAAGGTTGTGCCGATAATATGGTGACTTGGGGACTTTTTGCATGACTCCTTATTGGCCGGGCTGCCTCCAGAGCTTTGGGTGTTGAAATGTGTGGCGCGCCGATAAGATTGACTGAAGCTGATCAATAAAGTAGATACTATAACAGTGGCACATATCTGGCTGTGGCTACTGTATACCCAGAGCCCACCCACTGAAAGCTTCACTAATGGAATTACTTTAAAGGTGCGAGTTAATGTATTCGACGTAATGTTTTAAGTGCTTATTTCATCTCATTCTAATGTTGATAATATTCACAGGTCATTTCATTTCACATTACTGTCTCCATATAGCTGTTTTCCTTGCATGGTAAATTAAGTTGAGAACAGAAGAAGAACCTTTGTGAGTCATGCTGGCAGATATATAGACTAACATTTTCTTTCTGATTTTAATATAATTTTGAACTTCTATTGTTTCATTGTTTGTTAGTTCATCCCATGTTGCAATTCAGGTGTTTACAATAGATTTTTAGTTTTCTCTTTTGTTTTTTTCCAACAATTACGAATTTTCTTTTCTTTATTTTGCATCCTCACACCAAAATATCTTACTTGTACTTGTAAGTATTTTTTCCAGAATCCATAAACCTCTCATCTTTGTGCGTACAGAGAAAATTCAATTTCTTACAGTTTCACATTTACACTTCAACATTTCCCTGTGCTTCTTGTGAAAGTTTAGTCAAATGTTTTATTAAGAAACCTACAGCTGCTTTTTCATATATATAAAAAGAACTTGCAAGCCATGTAAAAAATCTTTCTCTATTGGCATATTCTCTGGAGACAAAGAAGGATTTTTATCTGTGTCCAGTGAGAAGCCTCTGCTATTAGAGCAATTACTAAGCCATCATTTAGCATACAGACTTAGACCAGTTATCAATTATTTAAAGAGGAAAGTTCCACTCTGTAGTACTTCTGTATGGCAAGTGTGAGCAGCCAATAAATTATAAGCCCATACATTCACTAACAAGTAATTGGCCATTAGCACAGTTCCCTTCATGGACCACTTAGAAAGGTTTAAGAGTTTTAAATGGAACTTGTTGAGTGACTGTTGGACTGTTGCGTTGTAGAGTGTAAGTTTAAACACTATTACAGAATAGAACTGGTCGTTTTTATGATTTATTTCCACTAAAAAGTTTTTGGCGACTTTTATTTTTTATTTTTTTTGCAAAATTGGCGACAGTAGCTCAGTTGGTAGAGTATTTTCCACTGATCCGAAGGTTGTTGGTTCGAATCCCACCCTTGACATAAACATCACTGGCAGGGCAGTCAGATCAACTGAAGCCACAGGTTGGTGGTGCAATTCCAGCTCCCACACATAGACTGTATATAAATGATATAAATGGACATAGCTAACATGCTAGCCGCCACTTTCCAAATAGAAAGTTTGCATTTGGGCTCTTCTGGCTCCTTCTGACTCTGGCTCCCATTGACTTACTTTGGAATATTGCTGTCCCTCTCTCTGTGACTGATGATGTGAGCATCGTCATTTTGGTCTTAAAATGTTCGTATTAACCCACTCTACATAATTTATTTATTTTTTCTCACTATTTTGTTTGTCAAAAAAATCCTGTTCATAATATAGAGCCTGGCTCCCAGTTCACTCCTGTAACCGTTAGCATCGCGAGCTTCATTTTAGTGGCACTGAACCATGGATCTATTAAAATAACTGGATAGGGTATTGTTGCTTGTAGCTGCCTCCAGTTGACATAGTGGTCACTCACTGGTACTTCAGCGGAAAAAATCCCCCGAGCCAAGAAAGAATTTTTCTCATAGAGCACAATGTAATCACAAACGCCTCGTGTTCGGCTAACAGGGCACCTACAACTTTCAAAAATGTTGGATTTTGTGGTGATTTTTACCTATTTCTATATCATAAACTTTTTCTTTCAGTTGCCTTAAAAAACTCTTTATAATCGTTAGCTCTGCTCCGCTTTAGCTTCTCTCAGTTTGATTGGTCAACTTGAGAAAAGAGTACTACTGCGCATGAGCCACCGGAAGTACTTCGCCGGGCTAAAGGCTAATCTGGAGTCATGCTCTATTGAACTCGGCCCATTGACTTGAATGGGCGGCCATTTTGAAACCCTGGGACTTGTGCTGGACACTATGGGTGACACTCGCTTAGTCCACTTTTTTATACAGTCTGTGCTCCCACAAATGAACGCTGTTGTTGTGCTTTTGGGCAGGACACTTAACCCACCTTGCCCCCAGTGGCTACATACACTGGTGTATGAATGTTTGTGTGAATGGGAGTGGTTCTTTGATATAAGGCGTTAAGAGCGCCTTGAAGGTGGAAAAGAGTTAGAGAGTTATATAAAAATATTAATATAAATTATGCATTTCATGAGACAGAAATTCACTTTTCTGTGCAATGTCTGTATTTGAGTAGATTGAGCAGTTGTGCAGATATTGTTGATTCAGTCTGAGAAACACAGGTAGATTTATTCCCAAGACATATTGTGCGCCTGTAACTACATCAGCTTTATGCGGTCTTTAACATGACGAGCTAGCATAACCCAGCGCCTGTCTATTAATTATAATGGCTTGTTAATCTTTATGGAGAGTTTTTCATAGGCGCTGACATAATTGTATAGTGATATTGAAAAGTTAAGTTAATTGGATGTATAAGAGCGATTTCATTGCACCCTCAGAGCGCAGAGACGCTTGTGTATTTGAGCCACTTCAGCCTGATTGCTCTCCCCCAATCAATACGTCGCTAATTAATCTCTGGGCGCGTGCTGTGTGCTGCTAGCTGTTCCAGTTAGCATTGTCAGACCATGTTGAGCCCTTCTGTATATGCTAGCGTGCCCGTGTCATTAGCATCTCCCTAGCTCCCACACCATCCATTTGGGTAACCCTCGATCTCCGGATGCGCGCTCCCTCTCGCTCTCCCCTATGGCTATGTAAGCAGCTAGCTAAATATTTTATTACCTTGCTGTTAAATGGAGCATAGACAATTCCAAATAGCTACGCGCCACCTCCACCACCGCAACGTCTGGGATAGCTCGTGTCCTTGTCAGCTAATAAAACAGTGATTTGGTGACTTTGCTCTGAGTCGTCATGCACTCTCAATGTTCTGGTATCCCGCTGAGTGATTTATGCAATCACCTTGGTTACTTAGCTTTTCTTCAAGCTACGTTTTATTTCGCTATTATTATCATGGATCATTTTAATGTGCCTTACAAGTCAATAAACGCCCCGCTAGGATAATTTTTCAGATGTTTAAAACTCCAAAGTGATCCGCGGCTAATTGCCTCAAAGTTGCGAGAACAAAACAATGGATTTGAATACTTTTTATCGTCAACATTTTATTATCAACGACAGTAAAAGAAATATAAGCCCGAAGGCCTACAGTGTTTCAAAGACTGAACCGAAACTTTGCCAACA